CAATGTTTTTTTTTTTTGGGGGGGGGGGATGATGATGATGATGATGATGATATGATGATGATATGATGATGATATGATGATGATATGATGATGATATGATATGATGATGATATGATAATGATGATATGATGATGATATGATGATGATATGATGATGATGATATGATATGATGATGATATGATGATGATGATATGATGATATGATGATATGATGATATGATGATGATGATATGATAATGATGATATAATGATGATGATGGAGGAGGAGGATGAAGAGGAGGAGGATGATGAAGAGGAGGAGGATGATGAAGAGGAGGAGGATGATGAAGAGGAGGATGATGATGAAGAGGAGGATGATGATGAAGAGGAGGAGGATGATGATGATGATACATAATAATAGTAATAAAATAATACGTTCCCATGAAGCATGAAAAACAAAGTCCACCCCTGTCAGTGACACGATACGATGAGATAACATTTGATAAGAGCTGATGTTTGATGAGCATTCGCGAGGGTGCAGTGATAAGGCTTGATAAGAAAAGATTAGGGAATTGCTTCGTTTTCGCTGGTACACAAACATATCTGTCTATTTGTCTGTCTGTCAAGCTCCCAGTCTATCTGTCTCTCCGTCTAGCTCTCTGTCTCAGAGAGAGCCACAAGACTGCGTCATCACCTTTACTCACATCTTCAAGCAGAGTATAGCACTTTGTCTGGATTTTTTGGGTTATCCTAGGTAATTTACACTATGTATACTTGTAATTATGTGTACCTGTGAGACAGAGATAGACAGATAGAAAGAGATAGAGACACACACAGAGACAGATAGAGACAAAGATAGACAGAGACAGACAGAGATAGACATAGATACAGACAAACGGAGATACAGCCAGGCCGCCAGCAGCCGGCTAGCCACACAGCTGGCCGCCACACAGCTGGCCAGCCAGCTGGACAGCCAGCCTGCCAGCCAGAATTGTTTCTCTTTACTTAGGGAATAGGTTATAAGACATTCTGAAAGTGTGTTGCACAAATATTGCACATGGGTTATTATCGAAGATTTTTTATATTTCCTCGACCCCTTGTGGCCACATCCACCTCAAAGCCACTAAGCCCAGGGTCAAAATCACTTTCCTCTTAAAATGGTAGTGTTAATACTACATGACATCAGTGAATCCCAGGTGTTTGCTGTGCTGTTTGCTCTAGCTGGCACTCATTTGAACTGGTGCTCCCACAAGGTACTAAGTTTATCTGGAGATCTGGAGAGAGTTCCGGGGGTCAACGCCCCCGCGGCCCGGTCTGTGACCAGGCCTCCTTAGGTCAGTGTCCCAGGATGCGACCCACACCAGTCGACTAACACCCAGGTACCCATTTTACTGATGGGGAACATAGACAACAGGTGGAAAGAAACACGTCCAATGTTTCTACTCTGGCTGGGAATCGAACCCAGGCCCTCACCGTGTGAAGCGAGAGCGTTAACCACCAGGCCAGTGGTCTCAGATTTTTTTAATACTGCGCACTCTGAGTGTTAGGACCCATTCTATGCTGACAAGGCATCTCAGGCCAATCATGACAAATTTGAAGGCAGAAAAAATAAAACTTATATAAACGTTTGGGGCGCTAGTGGTAAAAACGTATATATACGTTTGGACCACTTATGGGTTAATAACATACATGTTGTTATAATAATAATAATAATAATAATTTATTTTCATATAGTCGGACTTGAGTCCTGGAAATGGGAAGTACAATGCCTGCACTTTAAAGGAGGGGTTTGGGATATTGGCAGTTTGGAGGGATATGTTGTGTATCTTTATATGTGTATGCTTCTAAACTGTTGTATTCTGAGCACCTCTGCAAAAACAGTGATAATGTGTGAGTGTGGTGAAAGTGTTGAATGATGATGAAAGTATTTTCTTTTTGGGGATTTTCTTTCTTTTTTGGGTCACCCTGCCTCAGTGGGAGACGGCCGACTTGTTGAAAAAAAAAAAATAATAATAATAATAATAATGATAATTCTCCATGGGGAAGTGAAACAGAATTCTTCCTCTGTAAGCCATGTGTGTTGTAAGAGGCGACTAAAATGCCGGGAGCAAGGGGCTAGTGACCTCTTCTCCTGTATATATTACTAAATGTAAAAGGAGAAACCTTTGTTTTTCCTTTTGGGCCACCCCGCCTCGGTGGGATACGGATGGTGTGTTGAAAGAAAGAATAATAATAATAATATTACACAATAATTCATTGTGTTTGGTGCTTGTAGATTGAGTGTGCCTGCAGTGGTGGAGGCAGTGGTTGAAGCAGTGGTAGATGCAGTGGTTGAGGCAGCAGTTGAGGCAGTGGTTGAGGCAGTGGCTGAGGCAGTGGTTGAGGCAGTGGTAGATGCAGTGGTTGAGGCAGCAGTTGAGGCAGTGGTTGAGGCAGCGGTTGAGGCAGTGGCTGAGGCAGTGGTTGAGGCAGTGGCTGAGGCAGCAGTTAAGGCAGTGGAAGAGGCAGTGGTGGAGGCAGTGGTGGAGGCAGTGGTGGAGGCAGTGGTGGAGGCAGTGGTATTTAACCCTCTGACTGTTTTCATTGTATATATATGTCTTACGAGCCACCGTGTTTGACGTATATATACTCATAAATTCTAGCGGCTTCAAATCAAGCAGGAGAAAGCTGGTAGGCCCACATGAGAGAGAATGGGTCTGTGTGGTCAGTGTGCACCATATAAAAAAAAATCCTGCAGCACGCAGTGCATGAGAAAAAAAAAAACTCCGACCGTTTTTTTTAATTAAAATGAAGACTTTGTGGTCTACTTTTGTATAGTATTTAAGGTTGCATTCTCTTTTTCTTGGTCTCATTTAATAGAATCAAAAACATATTATAGAAACAGAGGTGATTTTGACTGGTTTTACTATGAAAAGAACCTTGAAATGGAGCTCAAAGTAGGGGAAATGTTTGATTTTTGCCGAAGTTGAGAAGTAAACAAATGATGTCACTTCCCAATAAATGTCCAAGTAGCCATTCTAATATGCAGTCATGAATGGGTTGACATTATTTATACAATTATTACAATATTGCAGTAGTCTGCATAACAGTAAATCTTCTATTTTTTGTTTGAATAAAAATTCAAAATAGAAAGCAAGAGTAATATTAGAAGGGCCTGGAGATGTGACTGATGAGCAAAGAAAATGCTATTTTAGAGCCAGGAATGTCTGCATTGTTCATTCTGGACCCTATTTTGAAATTGTCATATTTTTTGATTTTCGTGAAACTGGCCAAATTGCAAATTTCTGACCACGTTATTGGGTAGTTGAAATCAGTAAATGGGCAGTTTCCTGTACTCAATTGACAGAACAAATGGAGTTCTAAAGAAATAGCTATGAGTTTGGTTGACTGGAACAACGAAATTAGCTAAAAATAGGGCTTAAGTGGGCGAAATTGCCGATTCGTAAATATCATCAAGGTCACTAACTTCGCAAGAGCGTAATTCTGTCAGTTTACCATCAAATTTCATTCTTTTGGTGTCATTACAATCAAGAAAAGATTCTCTATCATTTCATTAGAAAAAATAATTTTTTTTTTTCAGAAATTTTGCGACACCAGGAAACACCTCAGGATTTGGGGTTGCGACAGTCAAGGGGTTAATAACATACATGTTATTAATAATAACAATAATTATAATAATAATAATAATAATACGTTATTAATAATAATAATAATAATACGATAGAACTGAAGAAGGAAATTGTACAAAAATACCAGGGTTGAACCAGTGGTGGAAGCATCCTGAGTCAGTTTGGCTTTGTTTATGCTGGAGTGAGCATTAGTCCCCACGCTCTTCCAAACATTTCACAATAATTCATTGTGTTTGGTGCTTGTTGATTGAGTGCGACTGCTACATAATTAACCATGGGCCCAAAGAAACTTGCTAGTGCCGGCCCTTTGCTAAAGAAATTGAGAAACACAATAGAATTGAAGAAAGAAATTGTACAAAAATACGAGGCAGTGCGCCGCATTGGTTGAGTCAGTGGTAGAGGCAGTGGTTGAGGCAGTGGTATTTAATAACATACATGTTATTAAACCATAACATGTATATGGTACAATATTTTACGACGTTTTCATGTATTTTATGACTGTTCTTGGTTCAACATGTTAAGGAAGCAGTATTGTATTATATTCTTTTCTTTTCTTTGTTGGGTTTATCAGGGCCACTGACAGCATAAGCCGTATTGAGCCCGGTTTTTCGATGGTACGAGGAAAATTTGTTGCCCAAAGCTGGGCGACGAAAGAAAAGGAACAAAAGTTCCTTTCAGATAGAAACTTGAAGTTTCCAATTAGATCCGGCAGACCCCCTTACCAAGTCCCAGCAGAGAGGGATGCCCACACTCCCACCTGAGCTCAGTAACTGGCTTCCCACCAAAGACCGTTAAAGAATTTTCCGCAGAGCGGAAAAAAATGGAGCTGGCTAGAGTAAGCCGATGAACAGGTGCCCCTCCTGTAGAGTGCCCGGCGGGCAAAATAGATGAGAACAAGTGTCCCAGAGAGAACGGGGGAAATTTGTCACTGATACACAGGCGAGACACCCGACAAAGGCTGGCGCAGAAGTGTACTGTATTACATTTCCCTACAATATATTGGGGCACCAAACATTCACAATTTTTCAACATTTGTGAGGCTCTTGATCCCCTAACTCTCGCAAATGTTGAGGGAGACCTGTAATACTAGTGAAATAGATATGAGACTGATTGACTGGAACAATGTAACTGGTGGAGTTTTTCCATCAAATTTTGTACTTTTAGTTTCATTACCTTTGGAAAAAGATTTTCTATCATCTCATAAAATATTTTTTTTTTTTAAATTCTTTGATCCTGAGAGCAATTCTCTGATCAGGGGTTCTGATTCTGAAAGAATTAATTAGCAACAAATGCAAGACTGTCAATTCTATTATAAGGTCTCCTTTCATTAACTAAAAATGTAAACTATTTTTATACAGTATCAAACATTGTTACAATTTCTAGCAGCACTAACCTTCTTTGATGAACTTCCCGAATTTCATCATAATGGAACTTGGAGCATGCATGGTGTTCAAGACTTGTACCAGGACTGGTTGAAGGTACAATGGGCTCATGAGACCCTTCAGGTAGAGACGCAATATCTCGGATCTCTCGAGATTTGAGTAACGTAAAGCCATCAACAATGTAGAAATGCTCCCTACCAAACAGCAGCAAGCCTTCAATGGTATCTAAGCCTTGTATTCTTGCACACCGGAACATGTGGCTAATCTGGGGAAGAATTGGTAATTATGAGGATTTCAGCATCTAATGCTGAAGAATATAACAGTATTATTTTCTACCATTGTTATTATTATTATTTTCATTATTTTATATAGATAAAATGTAGATTAAAACTTATTTGAATAATTCTACATGCAGTCTAAAACTGAAGTAATGAACAAGGAGATAACCTCCAAATAGAGTATACACAGTACATTATGACATAAGCTATTATATAATTGGTAGGATTAAGAGATAAACAAGATGAATTTTACAAGTAACAAAATGGCATGGAACTAGCACCATGATCAGAGTTAGCAAGACAAACAATAACTTGATTACTGTGAGTGAGGCAGAAGAAACTATGCTATAGCCCCCATTTCTCTAATTTTAATGGAAATTACAACAGTTCAGAAGTAATGGCCAAGGTCTTTTTTGAGGGAAACACACCACCTCTACTGGCTGATGGTTTCCGGGGTCAATCTCCAATCAAGATTTTAAGGTTGGCAGCCCCGTCAGGAAAGGTTTGGATAAATTTTTCATGTTCCCTCTTGAAGACAGTTAACCCTTTCAGGGTCCCCAGGCCCTCTCCCAGACTTGTTCTCAGGGTCCCCCAAATTTAAAAAAAAAAAAAAATTCTTATGAGAAGATAGAGAATCTTTTCCCAATCATAATGACACCAAAAGTATGAAATTTGATGGAAAACTTACAGAATTATCGTCTCGCGAAGTTAGTGGTCTCAGCGATGTTTACACATTGGCAATTTTGCCCACTTTGAGCACTATTTTCGGCCAATTCTAGTGTACTAGTCAACAAAAATCATAACTATATCGCTAGAACTCCATTTTTTCTATCGAATGAATACAAGAAACCACCCATTTATCAATTTCAACTATCCAATACAGTGGTCACAATTTAGCAATTTTGCCAATTTCACACAAATTTCAAAAGATGCCAATTTCCAAATAGGGTCCAGAATAAACAAGAAAGACATTCCTGGCATTAAAATAACATTTCCTCTGTTCATTAGTCATGTCCCCACGCCCCTCTTACATTCTTTTGCTTTCCACTTTGAATTTTTATTTTCACAAAAAATAGAAGATTTACTGTTATGCAGACTACTGCATTAGTGTAGAAATGGTATAAATAATATCAGCGCACTTGTGAAAGAATATTAGACTCACCAGTTGACGTGTATTGGATGCTTAGCATGATTTATTTACTTTTGAACTTTGGTAATAATCGAACATTTCTGCTACTTTGAGCTCAGTTTCAAGAAACTTTTCATTGTAAAACCAGTCAATTTCTGTAATATGTCTTCCATTCTATAAAATGAGACCAGGAAAACTAGAATACAACAATGAATACCATACGAAAATACAGTGCAAAGTTGCTGTTTTAATCCAAAAACACAAAGTTTTTTTTTTCTCATTACGCACTGTGTGCTGCAGGTTTTTTTTTTATACTGCGCACACTGACCACATATACCCATTCTTTCATATGTAGGCCTATCAGCTTTCTCTCACTAGATTTGAGGGCGCTAGAATTTAGGGGTACTAGTACATCAAAAACATTGGTGCGTAAGTCGTACTAGTACGTCCGAAACCCTGAAAGGGTTAAGTATCTCTTGATAATTTCCTTTATAAAGTCAATTCCTAAAATATGAACAATATGTGTTGCTGGAAAGTGTAACACAAGTGTTCAGAATTCATAATCTGATTTTCAAAACAATTATTATAAGTGGATGTGCTTCTCAATAATAATACAGTGGAACCTTGGTTTTTGTGATTAATCCGTTCCACAGAGTCTGACGAAACCTGAAAATCACAAAAACTGATATATGTACAGTAGAACCTTGACTTACGAGTGTCCCAATTTACTAGTTTTTTGAGATACGAGCCGTCCCTGGGTCGATTTTTTGCTCCAAGTTACAAGCCAACATTTGAGTTATGAGCCAGCTCCCCCCTCCCTCTTCCCCCTCAACCCAAAACCTGGACACCTCTCTTGTTTATCTATGATTTCATGCTTTAATTCCATGGAAATCATTCTCTTTTTCATCTGAGTAATAATAATACTATATTATTACAGTCAAGTCACTCAATAAGTCAGTCAAGTCATTCAATAAGTCAGTCAAGTCCCTCAGTAAGTAGCCAAATCATTCAGTAAGTCAGTCAAGTCACTCAGTAAGTCTGTCAAGTCACTGAATAAGTCTGTCAAGTCACTCAGTAAGTCTGTCAAGTCACTGAGTAAGTCTGTCAAGTCACTCAGTAAGTCAATCAAGTCAATCAGTCAGTCATTCAAGTCACTCAGTAAGTCAATCATGTCACTCAGTAACTCAGTCAAGTCACTCAATAAGTCAGTCATTCATTCAGTCAGTCAGTCACACAAACTCATGTTAACCTCTTTTGCTGTGTACAAAGTAACACTTTAGTTACTGCTACAGGTTATCTCTTGTCTAATATCTTTGTTAATTCTAAGTCTTAAGTGTTTATACCTCTTCATGCCACTTTCAGCAACACTATTATGGCTACTGGGTGTCATGATTGCTTGGCAGATACAGGATATAGTAAATAAAATATCATAACACAATTGACAAACAAAGCTGCCTTGTAGCAGAGAAAGACTGGACACGTATGAATTAGGAATGCTGGGATGGTGGGGGGTGGTGTCGGGGAGTGGTAGGGGATGGTGGGGTGGTGTCAGGGTGTGGTAGGGGAGTGCTCCCTGGCTGCTACACAACAAGGTGGCCACTTGAGCAAAAGAGGATTAATTATACGACGTGTTACATAAAATTGTGCAGCAATTCTTCAATGGTGGTCTACTGTATTATTACATTAGTGATAGAGCTTCAGTTCCCTAAATTAATAATAATTATATTTATAATAATAATGATAGAGCTTCAGTTCCCTAAATTAATAATAATAGTAATAATAATATATTATTATTATAACGACAGAGCTTCAGTTCCCTAAATTAATAATAATAATAATTAATACAATAACGATAGAGCTTCAGCTTCCTAAATTAATAATAACAATTATTATAATAATGATAGAGCTTCAGTTCCCTAAATTAATAATAATAATATAATGCATAATACATATGCAATAATAATTCAGACTGCTTCTGCTAGTTGGCACAGCTGGTAAGCAGTAAACATGTTTACATCCCTGTGGGGGCAGTTCTCTCATGCTTGCTTGCATTTTTTACAGTCATTTGGCCAAATTTCTTTTTTCTAACAATGGGTCCTAGTGATCTACTGCAGTTAGCCTCAAAAATACTCCATTTTCTCTCACAGTAAGAACATGGGAAGATACTATAGTCAAATTGTAACAGAACTGGCTGACGCTTCTGCCGCTGCTGCCTCTGCCACCATACTATGGTCTATTTAATTCATTCTAGAGTATATTTCATGTTTCTGTGCTAATTAAATTGTTTATTATGACCTATTAGATGAATTGTGATAGATAAATAAGCCGTACAGTTGATTATGGCATCATATTCAAGTATTTTTTCTCGTCTCCCCAGAGTGCAGGAACGAATTAATGGCTTTTCAATTAATTGAAATGAGCTAGCTCCTGGAACAGATTAAACTCTTAACTCAAGGTTCCACTGTAATTTTCCCCATAAGAAATAATGTAAACCCAATCAATCCATTCCAGACACCCAAAAGTACCTCGGGATACGAACAGCTCAAAACTCGAACAATTATGTAAGTGTATTTATGTAGGTGCTTTTGTAAGTGTATTTTTGGGGGTCTGAAACAGATTTATGTAATTTACATTATTCCTTATGGGAACAAATTCGTTCGGTCTCGGCACTCGAACAGCGTTCTGCAATGAAATAAATTCGTATCCTGAGGTACCACTGTATTAGCGAAAAATACATTTTTTAAAGAATAACTATAGTTTTACATACAGAAATAAAGATAAAAAGCTATTGAAATGAATAAATGAACATTTAACCCTTAAACTGTCAAAACGTAGATCTATATTCATTTGCATGGTGCTCCAAATATTAACCCTTAAACTGTCCAAACGTAGATCTACATTCACTTGCATAGTGCTCCGAATATTAACCCTTAAACTGTCCAAACGTAGATCTACGTTTTTTCAACAATTGAAAGTAGGTAAAAAAGTAGATCTTTTTTTTTTTTTTTTACATTTGAAAACGTGTAAAAAAACTGATCTACTTTTTTTTTTGTTATACTTGAAAATTTTTATTTTTTTTTTATTATCACACTGGCCGATTCCCACCAAGGCAGGGTGGCCCGAAAAAGAAAAACTTTCACCATCATTCACTCCATCACTGTCTTGCCAGAAGGGTGCTTTACACTACAGTTTTTAAACTGCAACATTAACACCCCTCCTTCAGAGTGCAGGCACTGTACTTCCCATCTCCAGGACTCAAGTCCGGCCTGCCGGTTTCCCTGAACCCCTTCATAAATGTTGCTTTGCTCAAACTCCAACAGCACGTCAAGTATTAAAAACCATTTGTCTCCATTCACTCCTATCAAACACGCTCATGCATACCTGCTGGAAGTCCAAGCCCCTCGCACACAAAACCTCCTTTACCCCCTCTCTCCAACCTTTCCTAGGCCGACCCCTACCCCGCCTTCCTTCCACTACAGACTGATACACTCTTGAAGTCATTCTGTTTCGCTCCACTCTCTCTACATGTCCGAACCACCTCAACAACCCTTCCTCAGCCCTCTGGACAACAGTTTTGGTAATCCCGCACCTCCTCCTAACTTCCAAACTACGAAAATATGTAAAAAAAAAACGTAGATCTACTTTTGAAGCACTACACATGTGAACGTAGATCTGCTTGGACAGTTTAAGGTTAAAAAAAAGAGTGCATTTTTCTACATGTTATAGGATAAAAAAAGAATTAGGGTTAGTACTTACATGATGGTAGGATTGCAGGTGTCTTTTGTCTGTCTCAAAAATATGCAAGATTACAGGTACGTCTTGCTACTTCTACTTACACTTAGGTCACACTACACATAC